TTGCTTACTGTTTTGCTTTTTATAGCTTACTTCTGATTTTATGCATTTTTAAAGTATCTCATTTTTACATTGAATTGAAAGCCTTAATTAAATGCTATCAGCTTATTAAACCCATGAAGGCCAACGGCTACCAGTAATTTTGCTTTAAAACTGGGGCAAGAGACAAAAGTGACCTGCAAGGTGCACGGCGCTATTCTCCTCATTTTATTTAGGACGCCGGGGTGCCGTCGTTGACCATGTGGCTTTCAGCTTGACACCGACAGGCACCTGAATTGACTGGAGCACAGGCTCAGCGGGACGGGCCTTCAATCAGACCCACTCTCGCACTTGTATTGGGCTGGAGCGCCAACGGCTCTGCTCCAAATTACAGCATAAGTGCCTAAACAAAGCATGGGCTCAATTGGCCCAAATGAAAATTGCTCAGAGCTTGAAGCCTCGACTAATGAAGTGGTTTTGGAGTCTCGTCTGTGATTTTGGCTCCACACTGCAGCAATAATATGTTCTGGTATGCTGATCGATGCTTATGGTGTGAAGCTAACTGTTTGGCAGATTCCAAGCTTCACTAAACATATAACAAGCGATACATCTAATATAAGGTCAAAGGGATTCATGTTTTAGAGACGCTCAGATTGCTCTGCCTGCTTTGGCTCTATGCTCTTTAGTTACATTAAACCCCAAATGATGTCTAAATGGACATTTAAAAATCAACAAACGACTGTCAAGTTCAAAATTGCGAACCAAATTTAGCAATCCGTGAAATCTAATATGGGAGGCATCTCCATCGTTGTATTACATTTCTTGAAAAAAGTAGTGGTTCCGAAAATATCCAAGTAGATCATACACGCGTAGCTTTTAAGAGCGATAAGATGCAGTAACGAACTAAGCAGCCGTAAGTATGTAAATGTGTGAAAAATTAAATGAAGAATTATGGGTCTTGGGAAAGGAGATATAATTCATTTCAAGGAAAAAAACATCAACTTTCTAAGGAGCAATATAACAGAATTTAGGCAGGTAGCTGGAAATACGAAAAAGCTAAATAAGCAAATAAGCAGGTAAGCTAATTAAAATGCTTAAGAGAACCTCACACTCGCACAGCTGGGTAGGTAACGTGATCAAAGCGAATAAGTACGTCTAGATACAGTGTAGCATGGTGACTTTATCATGCATGCAGAGGTCCTTCACCCAGCCCGTCTGAAAGGAACAAGGTCCCCCTGGACGTGACTGAGTTACCTTAAACTCCAAGCAGCCTTCAGTCTGAAGGTTTATAGGCTGCTGTTCTAAAACTGGAGCTTAACAACAAGCTCTGCAGCCTTATTATCGGGAGGTTTTTTTCTCCTTAAAAAAAGGAGGCCATCTTGAGTACAGCCTGTTACTTGGCAACGAAGAGGCCAAGGCTTCAACAGCTGGAGTCTTTCCATAAATGGTCTGAATATGCAATGTTCCAGGGTCCTGCTGCTCTTATTACAATGATTATTTTTTCCCCCTGATTACACCTCTGGATTTTGCTTTTATACTGAGGCTGCTTTTGTATTGACGTAAAAATAAGTATAAAGTGTAGCAACAGTATCTTCCATTGGATTTGGTCTAAAGATTGTGCTAGAATAAACGAGATATTGCTTGCAAACTTTGTTTACAATGTTATAAATGGAGAAATACTCATTTCTTGGAAGGAGTCCCAGAAGACAGAAGTCCAATTCTCAACTGGTGGGCATCCTTTTCTTGGTTTGGTCCACGGCCATGTGGAAGACTAGTGATTTTGTTGTCCTGACCACCAGGAATGACAACAAGTCATGGTCTCCCGCACCACTGTGTGACAAACTCAGTCAGTCGGAAACCACAGTACAGAGCGACGCACACGCCTAAGGTGACTGTGCTATCAGACACGTGAAAAGTGAAAGCAGGACTGAGCACTTGGATCAGTCGCACCTGGCCATCAGCTTCTGAGTCTTTGTTGCCCTCTGTTGGATACATGAGGAATGACGATGATCCCTTGGTAGCTGTATGTGTCCTTGGAAGTGAAAATGACTCTTTACAGAAACAAAAAACAAACCAGGATAAAGTCCTCACTTGGGGGAAAGATTTTTACGTGAATCATGCCAAAAACAACATTTATAGTATACACCATGTAATCTTATATACATGGCCATAAAAATTATATATATATATATATATATATATATATATATATATATATATATATATATATATATATATATCCTACCTAGTACTAGTTACTGTCTATGTTCCTAATAAAGTGGCTGTTGAGTAAATCTCATATTTTAAAAAGTATGTCATTGATATTATCTGCGTAGAAATACCTTTTCTGGAATAAAAAAGATATACTGATATAGGCTTCATCATAAGCATAGAAATTGTATGGGTAGATGGATGGAGAGCTATACTATATTAAAATAATAATATCAAATCATGTATTTTACATTTGTCAACATGCAAAAGCATTCTTTTTCTTATTTACACGTTCTGGTAGCACGTGTTGTTCTCCATAATGAAAAAATTCCATTCAGCCAGGGAGATTATGGGCCCGGCCAAATATTAAGCAAAAGCCAAGTAATGAAAATTGTGACCTGTGTTTATTCATAAGCAGAGATTATTGTTTTTCATATTTTCAGTGCATGTTTACAAACTGAACATGAACAATTAGCAACAATATTGGAAATTCTATCCCAACTAAAATGTTGCTGAGCGCAAATGATTTTTTTTATTCAAAATTGTTTCTAAAAGAGTGACTGGCATTAGACACATAATTACACATAATTTTTTTATGCCCATTGTTTTTTTTTTTGAAGGATATTTCCACAAAAACAACACGAAGCAGTGATGTTGTTAAATGAATTCACGCTTTGTATTTACAGTACATTTTTTGTCAGTCTTTGAGTGGCTTGTCAAATGTGTCAGTGCTTTTGTTTTCTGGTCTGCGAGTCACGATGCTTTAGCAAACCCAAGTATTTGGAAGGCCAACAAAGCAATGTAGAACAATTAACCCTAGGATGCACAAGTTGGTCAAAAATGACCTGGTGAGGTTGTTTTCTTGCAATATCGTTTCATATTCCAGGTATTCCTCATATAACATGTTTTTTTTATATCATTCCGTAAAAAAATTTAAGTTACCTCTTATACTTTTTAAGAAATTGTAATATTCGTGTTACTACCCCAAGCTTCAATAAGTGGGTCAAAAATTACCCACATGCATTTCCCATACAATTTCATGGGAACCTGTGATTCTTATCAATTGCGGCTGTCAGGGATTTATTTACTATGGACCACCACCCTATGTCAGGAGTGTTACTGAACAGGAAGATTATTTTACACAGCAAGACCTGATGCACACATCCCACACGCAATAGATGGGATGGTTTACACAGGGAGACAACCAGGGGAAGAAGTTCAGAAGAATCTGGGGGAAAACATTGTCCGGCAGTTGTGCAGTAGATTCAGAAACACAGGTCACAACATCACCACAGATAACTTTTTCACCGGTGTGCCTCTTGCACAGCATCTCCTGGAAATGGATCTCACTATTGTGGGGACTCTACGACAGAACAAGCCAGACATCCCTCCTCTGATGAAGGCTTCCAAGTCCAGGGAGGTTCACAACACAGAGTTTGGATTCAATGGCAGCATTACCATGGCCAGCTATGTCAGAAAGAAAGGAATGGCTGTTGTCCTCCTGAGCACGATGCACCACGATAATACGGTGGTTGAAACCAGCAGAAAAAAAAAAAACAGAAATGATCAACTGTGTGTGGATGTGTGTGTGGATGGGTAAATGTGAGGCATAAATTGTAAAGCGCTTTGAGTACTCGTAGGAGTAGAAAAGAGCTGCATAAATGTAGTCCATTTACCATTTACCATCACATTCTACAACAAGACCAAAGGAGGTGTTGACACCATGGACCAGATGGTTGGCACCTACACCTGCAAGCGGCAAACACAGAGGTGGCCCATGGTGCTGTGGTACAACATCCTTGACATCGCCACCGTAAATTCCTAAACCTTTTTCATGACTCAGCACCCTGAATTCAACAGAGGTATTACCAATGTATGACGACTCTTCCACAAAGACCAGTGGTGGTTTAATGGTTAGGGAAGTGCACTTGTAATTGAAAGATTGCAGGTTTGAATCCCCAACCAGCAAGGCACTACTGAGGTACCCTGAGCAAGGTTCCACCCCCAAGCACTGCTCCCTGGGTGCTGAATTAGCTGCCCCCTGCTATGTCACATTGTTACATATGGGTTGAATGCAGAGACTGCCTTTCGTTGTTGTGTGCTGAGGTGTGTCAGCAATGACAATTAGTCACTAAATTCTAATTAAATTAAATTCGAAGGAGCTTGTCACATAACAGATGAGCAGTTGACTGGAAGGCTGCCCACAACTGCAAACCCCGATCACTGAAGCAATAGGAAGGTTTGGGGTGACAAAAGCCACAACCCAGCCATAGGAAAGAAGCAGACAGAGCCAACCGAAGAGAAAGAGGCATCAGATCTGCCCAAGTAACAAAGATTACAAAGTCAGCAATAGGTGTGGGAAGTGCAATGTTCCTGTGTGCAATGATCACAGCCGGAAACAGGTAGTCTGTCACAATTGCATAGACATCAAAAGCTTCAGCAAACACGAACACTTACCTGCAAGAGAATAGAAAAGAGAGAGGAACTGTCCCTGACTGGACATTTACACACAAACACATAATGAATGTTGACATTCTTCTATTGCTGTTCTGTGTAATATTCATTTTTTAATTATTAAAATGTGTTATAAAGTGAAAAACAATCAAATTTCAAACATGAAATCATTCTTGTGTGGTCCAAAATGTAATACAGAATATGTTATAATTCATTATTCATAACCAGAATGACAAAAATGGCATAAATCACATTGATTTTTATAAGTGGGTCAAAAATGATCCACTTATGGAAAAGTGTAGGGTCATACCACTCGTGCATCCTTGGGTCAATGAAGAACCACGCGATGACAAGGCAAATAACTATCAAGCATTTTATTTGATATAACAGCAGGTTAAAGCATGGGAAGACATTAGGCAAGCGTGAGCCAGATCTGGCTGGTAGCAGCTTGCCAGGGGCCAGGACAGGGTTCATCTACTTGGAGCCCAAGGCTTTGGTATGCTGCATGACCTGCTGCCAGATGTCCTCCAGTTGGCTCTGCACGGAGTCAGCAAGGGGTTTAAGCTGGGCCTGCACGGAATCAGCCAGGGGCTTAAGCTGGTCCTCGATGTTGCTGGCCAAGGGCTTCAGCTGCTCCTGGACCTTGTCAGCAAAGGGCTGCAGCTGGGCCTTCCCATCCTCAAAGTAGGTCCTGGAAGGAAGAAGGAGACACAGCATTACCCTCCTAAATCATCACATCCATAGTTATGCATTTAGAAATATTGTACATAAGCATCATATTGTCAATGTGGTCAAAGGATTCAATGAGTTCAATTAGAAACAAAGGGGCCAAACTGTGAGCTAGGAACCCATTCAGCCCACTAGTCACACCGCATGACCCAGTGGGAAAAGAAAACAAGCAACCTGCCAGGCCTCATGGGCAAATTTGGCATCCTGTTCCCACTGTGTAGCATTAAGAGATTAGCAACTTACTGGGCCTGGCCTGTCAGCTCATGGGTCTTGACTTTCTCCACCAGATCCTCGGCGGTTTTGCTCAGCATGTCAGACAGGTCCTGGAAATACTTGGTAAGTCTCTCAATCTCAGGGGCCTCTCTTTTGACAAGGGAGAGAGACTCACCTGTGGGACCGAGAAAAAGCACAAACTATTGAGGAAAGCCAAGAATCAAAAGGAAAGAGATACGTATCAATTCCTCTGGAACGTCCTGATATCTTGCTCTGTATTGAAATTGGAATAGTTAAAAAAAGGGCTATTTTTAGCATTTTAAAAAAAAATTGTTAACATTTTTAAAGTTTTGGATAATTTTTTTTGTAAATTTTTCTGCCTGGTCAGTTACAAGTGTACAGATAAATAAGATCGTAATTCTGTGTCAGGATCTTGTGAGCTATTAGTGTTTATTTACACTGTGCTGCTCATGTTGAGTAAGAATAGATATTGGCTTTGATTGTCTGTTGACTGTGTTTGTTGTTTTTATTGTTTTGCTGAGGAATGAGTACCTTGAGCCAGAGCAAACACAACCAGGACAGCGATCAGAGAAAACTTCATGGCTGCTGATCGGACAGGGCACCTGTTAAAAGAGTGACATTGTAAAATTAGCCCAGTTTCATTGGTCATTGAAGGTCTGATTAAAAAACACTTGCTTTTTTATTACAAATTCATCTTGAGCTGCTGTTATTTCAATAATCCTCTTTCAAGCGTCTTTCAAATGTGTATTGCTAAGCATTTTTCAAAAGAACTCTTTCAGTTTCATCCATGTAAGCAAATGTAGTTTTATGTTTATTTTTAAATGTACATAGATGTGTAACAATAGCTGTTATATATATGTTAATTATTAAATATTAAGTACTATTTAGGTACCACTTTAAAATAGGGCTCCCTTTTGCCACTTGTAAATGTTAGGAACTCATGAATAAAAAGAAAACTGTTATAACATGTTTAAAATTGTCTATTAATAATTTACAAAGTGCTACAACCTAATTAATAACCAGATTATAAACCATTCATAAACTCTTTATATGGGTGGCCTTATTGAAAATTGGCACCCTATTTATGATATTATTTGCCCTACTATCATCAAATTATGAAGAAATCAAACTTACATTAAACGTTGTTAGGAACTTTAATCTGCACAAGTAAATATTTTTTGAAAAAGACTCTTACCTTCACTGCTGGTCTTCCAGGACTCGATGGTACCTCTGCTTGACTGCTAAGGCTTCTTATGGCTCCTTAGTGAAAAGTGGTCCCGCCTGACTTCAATACCATTGGCTGTTGCTGACAATTAGGTGACTTGCCATTGGTCAGTATGGACTGTCAATGAATGTGTGCTGGCATGTTGGCTGACCCTTGATGCTTGGCTTGCCACCAAGATGGTCTTCTCAAAGTCCAAGAGCCTTCTGTGGGGGACTGCTGACTCTACAAACAAGCACACTGTGTAGCTCTTTATCTGTCAATCTGATTTCCAATGCAGGGGACATTCATTTCAAAGACATGCAAAATATTTAACTGAAAGGATGACAACATTCAACATTAAGAGTAAAGATGACACTACATGACTGTTTTATAAAATAGGGTTAGGGAACTGTCTTCTCAAGCATTCCACTGTACAACGTACCAAACAGACTTTCTTTCTCAGTCAGTGGGTATGTATAGAGGGAAGGTTTTATTTAAAAGAAATTCAATTATCTCACTATGCAAGGCCCCTAACCTTCCAATTATTTAATTATCTTGCTTAGACAGTTCAATAAAATAGTTTTAATGTGGTACAACTTTTGGTGTCCAGTGTGATGATCCAACATCTCAGAAGTAACCACCTTCCAGGGAATTTCATACACACCTTGTTAATGAGAAAGGAAAATGGTCAGTCTTGTTCAAACAACAGGAAGGTCACAAGTGGAAAAACAACAGCCCAGTACAACAGTTGTGTAAGAATGTTTTCCCTGAAAACAAATGGGTCCTACAGAAATGTGTCCTACCCAGTACTAGCTACTGTCTATGTTCCTAATAATATAATTTATTAAGTCTCGCATTTCATTAATTAAAATAATTAATTTGCTTCATATTTGAAACAACCCATGAACTCATATTAGAGAGTATAAAACAAAGAACTAGTTTTGAGTTGACTTGACAAGACTCAAATGTTGTACAAAAAAATTAGTAAAATGATACCAAACCAGGGTTTATACATAATAGGACTACTATTCTGCCGCAGGAGGTAACCTAATCCATCGCTGTTCACTTCATTTTCTGAGATTTCATGAGACATCACATTCCAAGAAACTGGTACCGGGGGTCAAATTCAATCAGTGAGTAATTCTGCAGAGGAAACCAATAGCACGACACGTAGAGAACCTTCCAGAGATATACTTGTTACACCAAATGCCCTGTAGATAAGGCACGTTGTCATATTAGCCAGTTAAGCATGGAGGTGTTGCTTCACGCTCCTTCTTGGTCTCGGCATTTTGAGGCATCCATGGAGTTTAAACGTGAAGCATCCACGTTCTCCGGGGCTCCGGTATAAAGGTCAAGACATCAAACCATGAAACATCCATAGCTGCTCAGCTCACCCCCCGCCCCCATTCCTTAACCTGAATCATCATCTTATGATGGTAAATAAATGGAATGTATGAGATTATCACAGGCTGACGAGGACTCCCACGGTTTTGGTTCTGATATGGCTGAAAACAAAACACACCGATACACTGTGTGCTTCATCAGAGGTATTTTGCCAACACTGACTCACATGACTGTTGTCTCCTATGAAATTCTCATACAGTGCATTATATTGTTTATTTATTTGTTTATTTACTTTTATTTCAAACAGTTCCAAACAACGCAGACAAAACTCCAACCGATAAAAACTGAAAGAAAAATATCTGATTTCATGTGCAAATGAAACAAAACTTATTAATTCCTACAAACAGTTCATTGCTCACATTTTTTTGTTTGTTTCTCAGTAAAAATATCAAATATAATTCAGAAATATGTGTCCCACTATACTCCATCCTATAAACAACCACAAACATCATGGATTTACAGACACAATTCAAGTTAAGTATCTTCACCAGAGGCACAAAAACATCCACAAAATGAGCTGTTGATAGAACACATTCCCTAAGCAACCCGCTCCCCTTAATCACTGCTGATTGCTGATTATGTCTATATATCATTCACTGCATGTACTATTAGAACATGAGCATCTACCTTTGTGATACTTTTCATGGGATTGTATTAACTTTTGATTTGCAAAACGTTTGCTTGGATGTTTATGACGGATCTGATTGGCCAGGCAAATCATCAACTAAAGCTTTTCTTCTGAGCCGGTTCGCTTTCTCCTGCTTAATCAGAGGTGATGCCTGTCTTTCCATTGTGTCTCAGAAGGTTGTAAGAAATCAGAGGAGAGCCTTGATAGCAGAAACATGTCAGCTAAACAAGCGAAGGGGTCAATGTTCACGACTATCTTCCCAACTGATTCTTTATGGCATTGAAACTGTGGGACCCAATCACTAAGGGCAAGGAGCAGATCTAGTTGGCAAGATATGCGTAGGTCTCGTTCACCCTACCATTTCTCAATAGTATACTAAATAATACTGTGCAAGGAACTCTGTTAAGCCCTGCTAAGATGAAATGCTGACCAAAATTTCCACAACATTAACGTGCAACAGCAGCGCAACAATGCAACAGGAATACAATATAGTATACAAGTGGATTAGCTTCAAATCGGCTTAGGATCAGCATTTAATGCAATATAAATTATATGATTATTTTGGATTGTAATATTATTATACCTATGAAAGTCATGATCACAGTGGCAAGGAACTTTCTAAATAAGTGAACAGAGAAAACAACAAAACTAATGCTGCAATGAAAGGCGTTTTGTTCTAAGAGAGGAGAAGAGATGAATCCTGCTTTGTGTATGTTTTCATTTACAACTTTCCCTAAATCTCAAGCTAATTCTTTGTCAGGCATTTCTGATGCTTTTTCTTTAGCTATTGAGTCAGGTCAGCTCTGAGGGATATCTACATGACTGTCAACTCAAGAGCACTGAAGCAGGCCACAAGGTAACAAAATGACTCAGATTTACCACAATTATCCCCCAAAAAAAGGTAGAAGAAAAACAAAGAAAATCTGAGCTTGTGAGCTTTGCAGCCCCAGGAACAGCTGGTGTAATCACAACTCATCAAAGAATCGTCTTTATCTCTGTTTCGTTTAGGACAGTATTTCCCAACCTGCTTCTCAGGGACCCACAGATGGTCCACATTTTTGCTCCCTCCCAGGGAGCAAAAATGTGGACCATCTATGAGTCCCAAGGAACAGACTGGGAAGCACTAGTTTAGAATATGATTATGATAGTGGGGCCTTGCCAACCTAATGACCCTAATGTGTCACAGTGAGCGGTAATGAGCCAAGGAGACAAAAGTTTCACCAGCATGTTGCCCGGTGGCTCTTGCGAATTTCGCTTTATCTCCTTATTTTATAACCTCTTTATCTCCATGTTTATTTTTCAGTATCCATGCAGCCCCCCCCCCCCCCCCATTAATTCTATGATTCAACGCATGACGCATGGTAACTAGTTGCTATAGCTGCAGGAACATTGAGAGATGAGAGAAATGCACTGTGTATATTTTTCTGCATGCATGTTTCCTTATTTATGAGCGGCTAACGTTACTACGGTCATTAGAAGACAGTGTGTGGCTCTGTGGGTCAGGCCTGTGATCAAATGGCCACCGGTTGGAATCCCATCTCTGGGAAAGAGCTTTCACTGTTGGACGCATGATCAAGGTTTATGGACCTAACTATGTAGTTTAAAAATGGGTTTGAACCCCCTCTGAAATTATTTTTATTACTGATCAAGCACGTAGCCAGGAATTAAAATTACTATTGTCATAACCCCCATTGCTCCAGGGACGGCTTTCTCTGTTGTACATCACTTTAGATAAGTGCATCTGCCAAATAAGTTAATGTAAAGTGTTCAGCAGCAATTGTTTCTGCATTTCTCACTTCTGTTTGCTACATTCCTCTGGTGTTCTGAACCTTGTGTCTCACTATTGTGTGGTGAAATGAAAAACAGAATAGCTTCCACTTCAAAAAATTGCCTGAAAAGAAAAGTTTCTTTTTGCTTTTCTATAGATATTTACTGATATTGGGTGACTTTTTATTTAGATGAATATCTAAATAAAATAAAATAAAATGATGGACAAGATAACTTATAATCAACTCAGATCACATATCCCACTGACATTCTTTAAATTGGATGCAGCTGATGCTGCTGAGAAGATTTGCAGCTATACATGAGGATATAGCTGCAACGCGTGTTAAAATCTCTGGATTGTAAATGTAACACAGTTAATTCAAACATCTTCTCTGATTGCATGGCTGAGTGCATGAGGTCCCAGCGGAGCTCTCCATTACGCAGCTTGGCTCGCCGCCTAGTGTCCATTCAGTGTCACTGCAATGAGATTATTCAGATTTGACAGGAAGGGCACATTATGGAAAACAAACACCACTCAACTTCCCTGTAAGACTTACTTTGGACAGGAACCACATGGCATGCATTCTAGGAAGGAACAGTGACAATTTAGGCGTGGAGACTTGTTTAACGGCAATTTCAAATTTAGCTAAGTGGAAAACTGCACTGGTATCAGGTGTTGGAAAGGATTGTAATAGGGTGTGGATTCAGGCATCAAGCTCTGAGGCCGGAGAAAAAATGAAGCTACTTTGGTAAGCACCGGTGAGATTGACCATCCATCCATCCATCCATCCATCTTCTATAACTGCTTATCCAGCAGTCACACACTGTATGCAATTAGGAGACATCAGTTTATCTAACTGTATGTTTTTCAACTGTATAAAATCATGTATTTCAAAAATGTAATTTATAGTTATCAGTGAAAACCTATAAAAAAGCGATCTAAGTCCACGCGCAAATGTAAAAGTCGAAACATGAATAAATGATGCAAAATTTTATTGTCATCCGGTAGCTTACTTTGCAACGTCTTCACTGCAGCTGTTTCTGTTTGTGTCTGCTCAGCATGTGCGAGAAGCAACAAAGTAAAAAAAAACGGTGCCTCACGATAAGACCCCATTCGGGGACATTTCCATAGCAACCACAGCTGTAATTTCTCATAAATGCAACGCTCACTCGACACTCATTGCAAGGCATGATGAGAACAAGTTAAAGTAATTACTTGCATTTAGGGACAAAAAATTTTTGTATTTAATTTGTTTACTTTTAAGTTTCAAAGAAAACATTGTCTGTATATAAGATAGTTTGGAATACCTATAAGATATAAAATCCTGAAGTAAAGGTCATGCCAATTTTTAGCAATTTATAGTAATCGCCTCCTTTTAAATTCGCACATAACTGCCGCAATTATTAATACTTAAGTTTTTTTTTTTATTAATGTGTCCCCATCACTGTGGTGTCCTTGTTTAACTGCAAAAATCTACCAGCCTTCTTCATTTACTTCTGCTTTCCCCTGATTTATAAACATTATTGATCCTACTTGAGGACTGAAAAGTGCGTGTGTGATGTCCCTTAATCAAAGCCATGACGCACGTCTGCCGCAACCCTCCAAGGGTCAGACCATAAGCGTTTCCACGTCCAATTTAGGGGGCGGGCTCAGTCACGCTATTTTTTGTTTCGGCCGCGTGAAAAATAGTTTTGGAAAAGTATTTAACGATTTGCCCCAGATTTTCGTAAACATTTCGTATCTCCGGCAAACTTTACCGTAGAGATCCCCCCTCCTCTCGGCAAATCTAATCATTTTTTGGGGGGCGGGGATTACGTCACACACACACATAAAGGTCAAATCCTACAATCGCTCCTGGGTCACATTATTTCCATGACGAGCCAAATGAAATTCTTATTGACGCCGCGCCCATCACTATTACCGTTGGGATTTGTGCTTCGGTATTCTCAGGCTTTAGACAGGTGCTATGATTTAGATTAATATTTTGGACCAAGGATTAGCGATTACGGATTATTGCCAGAACCATACGCCTAAATAAACCGGGAGACTGTGCGTCGACTCAGTATTCAGATTCTACTAGAGGATCACGGGGTTAATGCTGAAGCTGCTTAATTGTGGCAAGGTTGTCAACTTTGATCAGACGGCTGGCGCGAGATTTTTAATTCGAAACAATCATCATATACATGTGCATGCATTTACATGTATGTGACAGATTTATTACATTTTTAATAGTTTGTCGGGTTTGCAAACTACCCCAATGTTTTTGATATAGCTAATCTTAGATTTATAATGGAATAATATATCTATATTATTCCATTGCCGTAAGAGTTCCTGCGTGAAAGTTGGCAACCCTGTTGTGGATCCATAAATCCACCAAACATTTTGTTTAATATGCAAGTTTCTCGCCATTGAAAATGTACAAACACTGACCATGCAAAGTGGTCTCATAACTAGGTTATTTTATAATAAAAACTGTGAGGTTACCATTTTTGGTATACTCTAATTCTGGAGATCATTAAAAAAAAATTCAAGCACGTAGATTAGTTTTGCATGTTACATGTCTGCAATCCCCCCACAGATTTCAACTTTTACTTGCATAAGTTAGTTGCCACAGGTTTCAAAACGCTTCTTCAAAAACAGTGCAGGCAGTGCATATCTTTTATTTAACCTCGCGAAAGAATAATCCCTATAAATTTTATAGGCAAAAAGGCAAAACTGTCACTTTGCATAAAAAGTAAGGAAAGTGAAAAGCTAAAAATATTGGAAATATAAAAACAAATATCAGTCGACAATGTAGTATCTTTTTGTCATTTTAAGAGTGCACTGTGAATTAATAATTTCGTAAAACTCGCATTCTCAGAAGCTCATTTTTGGATCCTGTGTCTCCCGTGAGTGACCAGAGGAAATCTCACTCGGAGAGAACTCGGCTTCCGAAGCTCGCATGGCCCCGCCCTCTGCCTATGATTGACAGCCAGGCGGACTAATCCCCGCCAAGTCCAGCGGGATCGGCATCATTCTTAAAACGCTGTCAGGACAATCCCGTTATTTTTAATTGCCCGTATCCCCTAACTCTTCAGCCTTTTGTCGTATCGTTCGTTTCGCTGTTCGTAGGTGGAAACTTTCCCGTCCGATTGCTGCCCCCCCCATAGCTGTAGCGTCTTTCCTTTTCCTCCTTTTTTTCCCCTCCGCGTTTCATTTAAACAATGGAATCTATTCGTTCTCAGCGACTTCAGCCGGGGATCGGATTTGGAGCTGGCTCGACCGGGACGCTGCGCTCCTCGCTCCGGCCTGGGGTCACCGTCCCCACCGCTCCTCCGCAGCCACCCTCGGTGTGCCTGTCGGCTTCCTCCGGGCCGCCCCCGCCTCCGCCGCCGCTGCAGCTGCACAGCCTCGGGGTCGGTGTGATGGGGAGCAGCGGTCTGGGAGCGGCGGGGATGGCGGGGCTCGGACTCTGCAATCCGGGGAACCCGACTGTGCTGCGGGAGGCGGTGGAGGCGGTGGTGAGAAGCTTCGCTAAACACACCCAAGGATATGGCAGAGGTAAGACGGCAAATATGTCGCCTAATTTAGATTTACAGTTTTATTCATGTTTCCAGTGCACCTCTCAGCTGCAGTGTTACTATAAACTGAAATTAACTTGTTTCAACATGTCTAGCGTGTTCTTCCTGTACTTATGCCTATTATTATTAATCACTATTAAAGAGATACATGCACTTATTTGCTGCAGAAACAAATGTGCTACAGATTAAGATTTGCAATTTATAACGTACTATTTGTTCTCTGTACCAGTATATCATGTTTGATTTAAATATGTGTAGTATATTTGTAATATATTTACATATTTGCAGATTCACAGCACATATATGGTATGTCGCATATAGTATGTAATGTTTTTGTCATGCATGCTCCTTTGGGTGTGCTGGTGAGTGAGTGACTCTGTGAATAAATGAATAATTATGAATGTCCAATCAAGTACCACAATTTCCCCTAAAAGTGGGGAAATCTTCTTCGTGCGAGCTTTCATGGGACACCATCACTGGCCCTAGGAAGGCGCCTGCTTACCATTTTCAGCTGCTCTGTATGTCTGTTGATTTTCGAAATAAACAGCCCCCCCCTTCTGCAGGCAGACAGTTTACAAACATCTTTGCAACATGACCTACATTGCGTGGTTTGGTGATCACATATTGCAGTGCTTGCATGCTCATTATAACCAGAGGAGCTGGACAGATTGAATAGTAAGGATATAGTAGACTGACGACACTGTTTCAGCAGATGTTAGATAACTGACAAAATAACAAAGCTTTATGAAAAGCAAGACTTTTCTGGATGTGTTTCAAGTACCTGTGATGTGTAAGGGATCTGGAAACATCTAGTTCCTTTTAATAATATGAATCAAGGTCAGCTTGTTTGTAAACAATCTAATTTCATATGTTACACAGTCCAGTCCTTGATTTTACTAGTTTTCTCGCTTTTTAAATGCAGCTCAGGGAAACTGCTCAGGAATTGTGCTGCACTTCCTAAGCGAAGGGTCAGTCATCCTCTGGGTACTTTAAATATGATTTAAGCAGAATAGTTTTAATGTTGAAAGAAGAAATTCCTTTGGGATATTCGTAGAGCAGCCCATCCCCATCTCCCCCTCTGTGCCGGCAGAATTCCGTAATCTTTGACTCCTAATGAGTTCTGCTGTTTTTTTGTGGTTAACCCAGTATTGCTGGGAATGTGGCCCTATAGTAATACGACCTGCATTAGAGAATGTCTAAGTGCTTTTCCCTTGCGCCAGACCAATGGTAATTTCACAGGGGAGGAACCATCTCACCTTTAGCTAAGCCAGCCTACATTTTGTGCCGCCTTTGGTGGAGGATTCAATGACCTGCTTATGAATGTTGTGATACATAGGGGTTAAACACACACACATGTGGTAGGAACATTCACAGTACTTTGAATGGGATCTTGTTTAAGGTCATTGTTGTAATGTCTCGTTCAGAATTTCGGGTTTTCTATAACACACTGGCCTTCAACACTGTACAGCCACATGGGTGTTCCAGATGGAAGAGGGCCTCTTATTGGCCCACCACTGCCGTTTATAACAACAATGCCCATTTGTCCTTCAGTCATTCACAAACCAACCCGGGCCCAGTTTTCTGCCATTTTCAGTCAAATGGAAAGAAAAGCAGGTTTGGCGCAGCGCCTGTCTTATGGCTCTGTTGGGGTGCTGTTTTCAGATCACCAGCATCTGATGGGAACCCATTTCTTATTTTTTTTGTTTGCGCTTGGCTAACGATTTCGGCCCGTAGTCATGGCAACCAACTCCGCGCCCCTTTTTGGTCGGCCAGCATGGCGCGGCTCTGGCGGACTTCGGCGGCCGGTCCCTGTCACGGCAGGCTGACGGGCTGACGGCTCTCCTCCTGCATTCCCCAGTGAACGTGGTGGAGGCCCTGCAGGAGTTCTGGCAGATGAAGCAGTCGCGTGGGGCAGACCTCAGGAACGGGGCGCTGGTGGTCTATGAGATGGTGCCCTCCAGCAGCCCGCCCTATGTCTGCTACGTCAGCCTCCCTGGGGGCAGCTGTTTCGGCAGCTTCCAGGTTAGTACCCCCCAGAGATCTGGCTTAGAGCAAGAGCCAACATGCCCAAGAGCTCCTTGGCATCAGGGAAGTTCAGAGAAGTCAGAGAAGGATGCTGGCCTGTCAGATTCTGCTCCATTTCAGAGGCGTCTTTACATCATGGATGTTTTTCAACTGGCATAATATGTGATCATTTCTTAAATATAAAAGCAGGATGTTGCGTATAACTCTTGTGGTTTTTGATGTGTATTCAGTCACAGTGCCAGTACTGAGATATGTTTTTAACAAGCAGCATCTTGGTTCTTTTATTGGTCCCCTGATATCTGATAAAATCGTTTAAAATTTTACTATGCAGTCGTGTAGCATAGGATACAGCCCTGATGTCACACATTTCTATAGCTTACACTTAGAAAATGTTTACCAAGAAGCAGCTAAAATGTACTAGAATGTAATAGAGAAAAGTACTTTACTTTCATCTATACTCTGACTGTACCTAAATTTCATGATTTTTTGCTTTTATTTATTCGTAAGTCAGGTATGTTGTGGCTGTTCCACCTTGGATCTAAACAAAATTTTGGGGCTTCTTAATCCTCATATTTGCATACAAAGAATCTAAACTGAAAAAAAGCAGTAATTTAGGTAACAGAGATAATAGTCGAGGGGTTTTCTTCCAAAATGGCATCTTCCCAGCAGCTCTGATTTCACCATGAACAGCCAACGATTTCTGAGAGGATGTGAACCTTGACCGCAGACCACAGACATGGTCCACGGCTGCAGGACAGGACGGGTGCTGTGGGTGTCTGGGTGCATGAGGGTTGGGGGGGGGGGTCTCGTGGGGGTGCATGGCATCATGGGAATACAGCTGCGGTGTGGGGTGCCTACAAGCTGCGGGGTCCCCCTCCTAGGCGGTCTGCGCATCTGGAGCGAGTCAGGGGCGGCTGTGGAACGTCTGGAAGTTATTGTCAGAGCGGGGCTGGGTGCCGGCAGCACAGAGAGGGGCTTTTAGGGGAGATGGGGGGGGGGGGGTGGAGTGGGGCGACCCGAGTCAGCAGCTGTGAGGAGGGGGAGCTGGAGGAGGGGCTGGCTGAGGTATTTTCGTGATCAATTTCATGTTTTAGTAGGAGAAACAAGAAAAAATATACAAAATATATGTTTTATATTTGTACAGTTAATTTCTAAGTTCACAGTATATCTTTGCTAAAAATCTTTTTTTTAATTATGTTTTTATTGCTATTTTTAGCGACATTTTTCTTACAAACATGTGGAGATATAAACCAAACAAACATTCTGTGTGAAAACAAATCATTTTGAAATGGGAAAATCAAAGAACAAACGAAACACGGATGAAGCAGCATCCCGATCTACTGACGCTGCAGCGCATAAAAACAAAACTAAGCTAAATAGCTGTTTAGCATGAATTCCAATTTTATCAAACAAAAATAAAAACTAATTACGAATCGTGGATTACTGTAAATGATAAAATCCAGATTAGATGACAAACGCGCTGCTAATCCCAGTTTAAAGCTCCATCATGGACAGTGGTTCCTTACTGGGGTAAAGCCCTAAGCTGTCTGACCAGCTTGTGGTAGCAGCAGACATGTCATTTAGGATTATTAAGTTTGTCGTGGGTTTGCCTCCTTGCCAAGTCTGTCTTTTCCACTTTTCACGAGTCTCTCGTTCTCTTCGTCCAGACCAGCTGGAACCTTTATCTACAGTATGCTGTTTCGGCAAGTTTAGATAAATCCCAAACGACTATGACAACATCCGTTTCAATGGACATACAAAAAAAGACATACAAATATATTAGTCCTATGTGAATATATATGACACAAAAATAGATTTTGAACTGGTCTATCTACATGCAATTCCTTTATGCCCTAACACTGATCCACACCCAGTTTGCTTCCATTTCAACTAAATTTTTGGAAAGTTTTGGAACATCGTCATTCACGGTCACATTTACTGTTGCTATTTATCTAGTATTAGTTCACTCCTGCTGGGAACAGTTAGGGTTCATAAAAGTAAAAACAAATGAAACAAAAATGCTTTTTATTGCTTAGGATGCTCTTAACTGATGTATTTATTTACACGTTTGGCTGCTACATTCTGCTTTTCATGCTCACAACTGTTCCGAGAGCAGCATTAATAGGAATGTCTCGATAACCCCAAGGTTAAGCATCTTCATCATCTTTACCGTGAGGGCACACATAATTCCGAGATCATACCTAAAAATAAAACCATGACAGCTATTTCCTTCTGCAGGCCAGTGGTCTCAAATCACCTTTTTTCTTTAAGTGTTCGGTGAGGTCGGGTACTGAGTAGCTGCCAGGTCGTCCATTTCCCTTCCATCCGGGCAGCATGACAGACCCCCGAAAGGCTGGTGATTCTGTTCCTTTCAGCTTGTTTTCATTTCCTCTGCTCACCACAGCCTGCGGTACCATCACTCCATTTCCAAAGCGCGGAAGAAGCCGTACAGTTACATGCAAACCGCTGAATAAGCCCCCGCCTCGCACATGCATACACACACGCATTAGTGACCCTGAACACACGTAACCGAAAAACACGCTAAGCCACTGAACGCTAAGTCTGTTGGACTTTATTTTCTAGATTCCTGTCTCTTGGCTCCTGACTAGTGGTTCTGAGTCGGATCCATTTGCATGGAAACTATCCTGAATCTTTGGTCCGTGCGGAAGATCAGGCGCTGCATTCATGCCGGCTGCACCTTCAAGCCCCCGATTATTATGCTCTCGTTCCAAACAGGCAACTTCCTCGCTGACCGCACACAAAACTAAGCAAGAGTTCTGAGCCGTCCAATGATACGAATGTGGAGAGAGTGACCAACTTAGCAGTCTAAGTTCTAGGGATTAAAAATCAATATGTTCTTCTATAAGCTTTGGTAATTCTGTCTGCAAATCCCAAAAGCAAGAGAAATATTGATTGGCTATTGCTCAGTTATGCCTTTTTAGTCCATGTCTCTCTCCTCAGCTGGGTAAAACCTGAGTCAGGTCCCGTTTATATAAGACAATAACTTACTTTACGTTGCATGTAGTAATGCTAACCCGCTAACAGAGATCATATGAGTCATAGTCTATAAATTGTGAAACAAAAATGGGTGGCAGTACCCTAACAACAAAGGATACCTCTATCAAAGTCTTTGACAAGCTGCTTATTGGAAGCAATGAGAAGCAGAAAGGAGAGCATGACACCTTTAGAGATACTGTTGTGAAATTTCAGCCTAATCTCTGTAGGATCCATCAGTGTAAATGCTGGAGAGAAAATCTGATTTAATTCCCATTTAGCTCTAATAAAAAAAAATATTTCTTTAAATGCATAGTAGTTTGTCTGCATGCAGGCGCTTTCACGGAAAATGACACAAACTATTCAGAGAACCTTGCAAACCCAGATGAAGATTGAGCCTTCTTTCCATTGACACTGTGAGCAGTTATAATATGCATCTGGAAACCCCTGTATTCTTTATGTCATTGGCTACGATGGAGCCATTGTGGCAGGAAGTGCTCATAAATTATTGATTAGTTTATGCAAAGCCGTTGCCAGAGGCCGGTTGGTAAGCATCCTTCAAAAACAAATCTCTCGTTGCCGTACATGAACAACACAGGTGGCATGGAATAAGCGTTACAGCCTTTGTCTGATTCGTTGTGGACACTCTACCCCTTGACACACATTGGCCAATGAACATGGAACTGACTTGTCCAATAGCAATCCTGGTTCCAGCTCTCGGCCTCGGAACTGTTTTCAAAGGATTGAAGCCCTACTGTGTTTGGTGCGATGACGCATGCGGCAAATCTCAGGACACATCTTTTCCATCCTGCGGTCGTTCCCCCTCTTACAGTGCGAGCCTTGCTCCAAACCTGGATATGGGGAGAGAAATGTTTTAGAAGGCTGGGTGTTCCATTTTTTCGTGCCGTAAATTAGCTTTCTGTACAATACTCTGTGGTTGGAAAGTCATGTGGGCCTTCATCTGTTTGTGATTAAGGAGAAGAACTTAGTAGAGAACAGTCAAACCCCAGCTTCCCCCAAACATTCACCCTAGATCCATATTGACTCATAAGAGGATATCTCAACATCATCAAGAAGGCATCATTTGTAGGGTAAAAAGGCATCATGATCAAGGTACTGAAGCATGTTTACCTTCATAGAGGGAGACCTAACCTGAGTTTGAAAAATGATCATTCAAGTAAGACTTGATGTCTGGGAGACAGATAACTTATTCGACGTCTTCCTGCTGTGGTGGCGCCCCCTCCCCCTGTTGGCAGTACTGCCCCACCAAGGCTGAAGCAAGGCGCAGCGCGGCCAAGATCGCCCTGATGAACTCCGTCTTCAACGAACACCCCTCCCGCCGCATCACGGACGACTTCATCGAGAAGAGCGTGTCCGAGGCACTCGCCTCTTTCAACGTGAGTAATGTCGCCTCCTAGTGGGTGGCGGAAGAGATGACAACCTCCACGCTTTTTCGTGTTTTCGTGGAAAAAAGCCCATGGTACTAATGCAAAAGAATCTTTAAGGAGTACTCCCCGTGAACAATGCATCATTTCAAAGATACATTTTAAATGTGAGTTATTTATTGGTTTAAACCAAGCGTCTTCTGAAGCCTTTTCATTCTTGGAATAAAAACTTACCTGTTCTATCATGGTAATAATTATTGCAATTTCTGTCTAATTCAATTTCTGCAAAACTTACAGCTTATTGCTTTGGACACAGCAGATAATTGATTCATTATACCTTCTTGGTATTTAATATACCTGCATACTATTTATCCTGCATATGGAGGTTCTGTAGTGAATAATGACAGTTTGTTGCTTATAGGGTAACAGGGAGGAGGCTGACAACCCAAACACGGGCATTGGTGCATTCCGCTTCATGCTGGAGTCCAACAAGGGCAAGTCCATGTTGGAGTTTCAGGTAAATCCTACTTAATTTATCATTATTTTTAAGGTCCTTGGGTACAGACGGTCTCTGTCAAAAAACAATTCTTCAGTCTTTGGTAGCACGTTGCTTGAAGCTATTATCTATAATGCATTATAGATACCTTTATAATGCATTATAAAGGTATCTATAGTGAATTGTAAATGAGAGCTTCACTGGAGCTTATAAAGTGTTATTGTCAACACTATAATGCCTAATAACTGTCAATAGAAGATGCTGTAATGCTTTATTAATTCTTATAACAACAATTATTATGCATTATGGATGCTCTGTAATACATTATGAAGGTATCTATAATGCATTATAGATAAGTGCTTCAAGTAAAGTCTTGCTGAGATTTTCTTTATCCCGTCATGCAGGCTGAAAGACTGTGGGGGCGGGATTAATCAGTGACTCTGAGTGTAATTGGATGGTGATAGGATGAGTGACTTTGTTTCTGGAGATGGTGCATATGGGGGCGGGGCCTCAGTGATGTAATCTGTTCTGGTGTCTCTCCTAGGAGCTGATGACCGTCTTCCAGCTGCTTCACTGGAATGGCAGTCTGAAGGCCATGAGGGAGAGGCAGTGCTCTCGGCAGGTGAGGCTCATTTGCAGAAGCTGGGACCTTGATAGCAATAATCTTATACACCAAATGTCTCCCAATCCGGTACTCGGGGACCCACAGGCAGTTCACCTTTTCTGGTAGGGAGTTGGAAGGAAGCAGAAATGTGGACTATCTGGCAGGGAGCTGGAAGGGAGCAAAAACTTTTGGGTCCCTGAGGACTGGATTGAGAAACACTGTTATACACAGTGCATTACATTTGCAGTAAAGTATTATTACACATTGAAATGCGTGACCGAAGCCACACTTTCAAATATAACTTTACAATATAACTTTATTTTATTGAAATTAGTATGTACCATTCGCATTTTCATCTGACCAATAGGAGGTACAGCTGCATCCCCTGTACCCCTGGTAAAATCACCTGTTGCTGTAGCTGCGATCGGAAGTTTGCCGGTTCGAATCCCAGGGTTGGGAGAGTGATTTTACCGTTGAGCCTTTGATCAAGGCCCTTATCTTCTAATTGTTCCAGGGACTCCAAGGATCCTGCTTTCTGAATAAAATGTATGTTTCTTTGGATAAAAGCATCTTTTTAAAAAGGCAGTTTTACTGCCTCTAACATACATGGCAAGTTTCTCGGTGTTCACTGTTGCTTGACCCAAGAGATACCATCCAATCAGTAAACACAGTGCTGTGTGACGTAATGTGACTTGGCCTGAAAAATAGCTGGAAATTCCCAAGGAGCCAAATTTACGACCTCTTTCCCTCACTGTTTCTGGGCACCTACCCGCATACTTGGTCTTTGCAGTCAGCAATAGATTGCATCAAAAATAAGCCCCATGATCTCTGCCTCAGGGAATCCAATATTCTTTTGGAGCAAGGATTAGTTAGTATTGGCATCAGACAAATCTTGCTTGATCGCTGTGTTTATATTCAGGTTTGGCTATGGGGGTGAATCACATGAGAAAAACATTTACCACATGCATAATTTATTGTGCAGAAAATTATATGTAACAAAAATCTGGGTCGATCCATTTATTTCAGAAGGGCTATGATGAATTTAAATAATAATTATTATTTATTTGGTGCATGAGAGAAAAACTTGCAATTTGCATATTCTTCATTATTAACCATAGTCGTCGTGTGAGCACACTGAGAATTTCCAGTAGTGTCTGATGGGATATCTTGGGAAGGGAAAAGTTACTGATGTAAGTCTCTTGCAAAGTATCCTTATTTTATGTGTTCTTTATGTCAGTTTATACAAAATTCATTTTTCCAGCAGTGGAAGCCTTTTGCATTTGGTCGTGATATAACAGTACAAGTCAAAGCAGGCTTTAGAGATGCTCACGTGTAGCAGCGGGTATCGTGTGATATCATGCTGAAAGATATTTTTTCTGAATCACACCGCAGGGAATAGTTTTACTCAATATCCAAGTGTTTAGTTTCTCATTCCTCTGACGATCTCTTTCCTGTGCAGCGTTCAAAATGATGATCTATCCGTCTTCTAAGTGCTTACCCTGAACAGGCTCTTGGGGGGGTCTGGAACCCATCCCAGCCAACATAGAGCACATGGCTGTCAATCGAACGTTAGTGTTTCACATTTTTACATACCTGCATTGCTCTGGATAGAAGAATCACCTAAATCTGTGGTTCTCAACTGGTTTAGTCTCAGGATCTGCATTTCCGCTTGGTCATTAAGTCACGATCCAGATATTTAAATTGTTTAAAAGTTGTGTGTGTGGGGTGGGGGTAGGGAATGATAACAGCTGTCGATCAAGGGGGGGGGGGGGGGGTTGATGATTTGGCTATTTCTTTTTTTACTGCACGTTTCATGACCCACTGAAAATTCCCCGCAAAACCCACTTTTGGGTTGGTACCCACCGGTTGAGAAGCGCTGACCTAAATTAATAAAACTGTTCGCGATAAATCATGCCAATGTACACTTTCTGTTTCAATTTTCAGAATTCCCAAATATATAAAATATGTCTGACTAATTGGGGTAATGCAGCCAGTGTTCTGTTGTTTACCTCCATTCATGTGTTATACTGTATGATGTATAATCGGATGCTGTATGAAACAGAGAGCACTCATTAACGGCGTCCCTGGGCTGATTAGACATTCCCTTTCATCTGCCTGTATGACTTTCATCTCTACAGAAACTTTGGGGGAGGGGTGGGCGAATTGAAGTTAGCCACAAGAATGCGCTCTAATGACTTGTAGCATGTTTTAGATTTGATTTGTCAGCCTGGTCAGTGTTTTGTCCATTTTTGTTTTTTCGTTTTGGGTGTTTTCGTTTGTTTTTTTGTAGCCCAGCTCATGATGTCTGCCATGTTGTGACTGAGGGTTAAATAAAATTTTTAGCAGATGTTTTTTTGTCTAAAGTGTCTTACAAGTGGCAAATTGCACATTACAAGCATACCGACAGTGTAACAATCACACATAGTGCTAATACATTGATGTCATTATGGGTGAATTTGCCTCTTGGCTCTTGTGCAAACATGATTACCATTGTTAGTCATATATGTGTATACCGCACGACCATGCGTGCATTAGTGGGCTGCTCTAGTATTTATAATGATAATGTGCCTCATATGCTATCTGTGTTTCACTGGTAACAGTTTCATTTGTCACATGTGTGCAACTACATATGTACTGAATTGTTTATTTGGCTGTCATATCACCGTTAAGACATTACAGTCTTACACGCTCTAGCTGACTGGTTGTTAATGTTCATTCTGCGACCCGCCCCCACAGGAGGTGCTGGCTCACTACTCACACCGGGCGCTGGATGATGACATGCGCACTCAGATGGCTGCTGATTGGGTGAATCGGGAGCAGAGCGTGGCAAGCACCATCGCGCGGGAGCTAGCCGCCACAGAGCGGGAGCTGGAAGAAGCACGTCTGGCAGGCCGGGAGCTGCGCTTCCACAAGGAGAAGAAGGACATCCTGATGCTTGCTGTCGGACAGCTGGGCAACGCCAACTCCGCCACCCTGCCCGCCGGCTGCTAGATGCAGACCTGAGGGAACAGTGGAAGACTCAGCCCAACCCCACCTTTGTTCATGATTGTACAAGACAGCGCTGTAGCCACAGATCCAGAAAATACACTTCAACAGCTAGAGCCCAGTTACTGGATGAAAGATTAAAATGTATATGAAATAAGCTTATTCAAAGTGCGTGCAAACAAAATTCAGCACTTGGGAGTTTTACGTACACAAAAATGTTCCGAGGGCAGAACGAAAAATGATTGGTTCAGGGAGATAACCAATTAGATTGTAGAGGAGGTGGGTCCAAGACATCTGATTGGCTGGTCCCACCTCCTCTAATTTCTTGGACGCACCTCCTCAAACTTGGACTCAAACTCCCACGAGCCAAAAGCCAGGTGGGTTCGATGTCATTTCCAGTGATCCCCTAGAGTGGAGCATCATTTATCATTTTTATTTCGCTTTACTAAATAAATCATTTCTTAATAATGTCCATGAAATTTTGCCACACCAGCATTCACAGTCTCCACTCTGGTTTCTGTCATATTGCTATATGCTACTTATAAATCCCTCCCAGATAAACAGCCGTAGGTTACTGTGTGGGTCTGAATTGACAGGCCTTTGGAGACACATGTTTTGTACTAAAATATTAGCCCTATGGGGTTCAACCATATTTAAAAAATGTATTGAACACGAATTGATCTTGAGCAGGAAATTGGAACCTTTTGTACCAATGTTTTTAAACATTTTCAGCTCTTTCATGCCTCATTTACTATCCAGTGCTTACTAGGATGTAATATGTTTTTATACAACCTGTTCTGCCACCTACTTTTAAAGTGACATGATTTGTGACACTTCCCCGGCTTCTTGGTGAATTTCCTTTCAGTCTGTTGTTTTAAAACAGCAGCATTCAGTTGAAGTGGTCAGAATTCAAAATGACCCAGACTAAACAGTATTCAGCAACGGAGAGATGTTGTCTCATTGTTTTCGATTCTGGCAGCATATTACACGAAAGCCATATTGACCTTTTGTGCAATTCGCAGTGTAAATTTAGTCTAGGAGAGAACATCCTGGATTCAGGCTTTTTAAAAATATGATTTTATTGTATTGCAGTCATTATACTATGCTAGGAATGTAGATACAAGATCACATACTTTATATTTTAAGTGGTCCTTTACAGATGCAGCCATAAACATTGGTGATTGTTTAGCAGACAGAATTTTTTTAACTATTTCTGTTCCTGAAATATCAGTATATCTTCTTTAAGTTTCTGTTGAATTCTTTTTGTATAGTCCACATTTTGCAACTGTTCTTACATTATACAATCCACATTTTACAAATGTGATTTTTGGTTCTAAAAAGACAAAATGTTCTTACATGTTTTGTTGTATTTTGTTGCTAAAGTACAAAACAGCGCTTTGTTCCGGCAACAAAGATTAGACCAAGTCAGTTTTTCAAAGAGCAGGCAATACATTATGTTCCACTTTTCTTTTAATTTTTGTAATGATTTATTAACAAACTGCATGTTTGACTAAAATGCTTTTTTAAGAAACAGTTATCCCCTCCAAGAGTGTTTTTGTTTGATACATTTATTATATGTATTTTCTACAATATTTTCAAGTATAATTTTTTACTTAAACCAGGTTTATACTTAGATTTGAACACAATAAAGCAGTAAACAAATAATCAAGTTTGTTGTTTACTTCATATCTGAATATGACTACTTGTTATGCCAGAAATATGTTGCACATGAGGAAAATTCTTATTTTTCTGAGCACGTACACATGACCTTCCCAATATGGCTGCGCTCTCAGGTCGCGCGATCTTTTTGGCGCGTTACATATGGACCTCCAACGTCCCATAATGCCCCAATCACTTCACTTGCATTTGCAACAGGGCAGCCAACATGTCGGACGTACTGGATTTACATGAAGCCGGGGGCGAGGATTTTCCTATGGATGAGGATGGTGATGGTAAAATTTAATACTTAAAGGAAGCGGTGTTTGTATTGTTCTCCATTCAGCCATATCTTGGATGTATGTGGTTTTTAAAGTGACCTATTTTGCCACCGTAATTCCCGGTGAAAGTTTGGGCCTATGTAAGTGATTTAGCATAAGGCTAACGTTAGAGCTGAGTACAAATGGAGCTTCATTGCTTGGCTTTGTAGTTTAGTTAATAGCGCTAGCTGGTTTTACTGTGTCGTTTGTGCTTGATAATTATATTGTTTGAATTAATTTCTGTTCTCCGATCGCCAGCTAATGGGGAGCAGTCGGCAACCGAGTTAATATTGACCCCATAAGTAACACTTGTTACAATACTTGTTTTCCAGAGAGCATCCATAAACTGAAAGAGAAGGCTAAGAGGAGGAAGGGGCGAGGTTTTGTATCAGGTAAGTTTAGGGTGATCATGCTCAACAGGAATTCTGCAAGACTGTTTGCCGTGGTCTGCATTATAAACCGGGGACTGTAAAAATGAAAATGTCAGAGCTTGAGACCCACTAACATGCTATTTTAATGGTTTATAGGTCCCCTGTGTGTGTGTGTGTGTGTGTACACGTATCCAGGGATGGTACAGCTGTCTGATAATACATATTCATGTAGAACGTTTTGTAAAATTGAGTTTTTGTGTCGGGTGAAGTGTGTACCTTGCTACGTTGATGATGATGATACTTTATTGATTGCTGTGGGGAAATTGGTGGTCTTTTCATCCTACCCCATATTGTTCTCCAAGTGAGAGCAAGCTTGGCAACGAAAGGCAGCCACTTGTAGTGGCACCCAAGGATCTGAGGGTTAAGGGCCTTGCTCAAGGACCCATCGATGTGCCAAGGTCAGGCTTGAACCGGGGACCGTCCAATCACAGGCACAGAGGCTTAGCCCACTGAACCTTAACTATGTCCTGAAGGTCCCAGGTTCAAGCCCAGCCTTGCATCGCTGGAGCAGTTGTAGCTACAAAACTCCGTCAGCTACAATAATATAAGTTAATTTGCTTTCATTAACTACAACTGCTTCAGTGTTGCTGGATGCTGGCTGACTGTGCTTTTGCCCTAAGCTGATGCACAGAACAGCATTTTCTCCAAAAGCATATTGTTCCTTTGCTAGGGTGCAAAATGTTGAACCATATTTTTCATAGATGAAGGAGCTAGATCAAGAGTCAGAGAAGATTATGACACAGTAGAGCAAGATGGAGATGAACCGGGTCCACAGAGATGTAAGTATATTTTGATATCAAATATAATGCTTTGGGATGTATTCTACAAAGGCAATTTCTTCAGAATTATCTGATTATTTTAGTGTGTCATGTAGTGGGGAATATTTACTGTAAACATTTCTGTTCTATAGTGTCTGGTTTTATTAAATGACAGTGCAACATTTTCACAATATGAATGTTTATGAATATCCTCTTTGAGGGGTACCCTGCATTAGCCTAATGGTGTTGAAAAAACTAAAGCCAAAAAATAAACAAATATCCCCCTTCCTTTCAGTGTGTGTCCCCTGCATGTTCTCCCCTGCATGTTCTCCCCTGCATGTTCTCCCCTGCATGTTCTCCGGGTTCTTCCTATTGTCCAAAGACTTGCAGTTAGGTTAATTAGCATCTATGACGTGCTCAGTGTACAGTATGTCTGTGTGTTTGCTCTGTAATAAACTGGCATCTATAAATGGTTGAAAGATAGGTAACAGTTAGGATATTTAAGCAGTTATGTGAAGCTCCTTTAAAGGATGTTACTGTTAAGAGCCTTTTTTGTTCAGGTAAAAATAGATTTTTCATGGCTTTTCAATGGGATTCAAGGAAATTTTCTTATGGTGCTTCAGTTTTCAGCAAATTGAGACTGGTTTTTGTTTTTTGGCAGTACTTCTGAGAGAAATTGGGTTGCAAATTAAATTACCACAAGCTATAATGGTGCACCAAAATTATAGTAGCTTGGGTTAAGCAACAAACTATTGTAACCATGACACTATGGTCAGATAATACTTATGAACATTCGTAAAAGTGTGGTTGCTAATGATCGTTAGCTGGGTAGAGTTGTTCATATCTCCCTGTCCTCTGAGTGTTGAAAGGGCCGTGGGACTTGTAGTCATTTGGAAGTCGTGGGTGCCTTGGTGAGAATTCATCGGCTGTGACTTGAACTGAAATTGGTGATTCCCATTGCCATTATAGCTGTGGAAGGCTGGATCCTGTTTGTGACCGGGGTGCACGAGGAGGCCACAGAGGAAGACATCCACGATAAGTTTGCAGAATTTGGTGAGATCAAGAATCTGCATCTGAACCTAGACCGGCGGACAGGGTACCTAAAGGTAACAATTGTGAATTCAATGAGACATTCAATGCAACAACTCTGTACAATGGTTTCAGTGATAGTGAGCACTTTCCTGTTTCTGTTTGTGTGGAGCAGTATAAACATTTTGAAATATGATACTCTGTCTGTGTAACTGTGGCAGAGATATGGGAAGTATCCATTTTCTGCACATTTGTGCTGAAACAGAAGGTGGCAGTATTGCATCAGTTTTGTGCAAAATATGTTTTCTGCAATGGGAGAAAAACAAGATATTAATCAACAAAGCCAAAAGCTATAGACACTAAGATTTGATTAGGTGAAAGTATTAAAGTATTTTTCAAATTATGAAAAATCGCTGGAAATAATCATGTAAATGCATATTTGTAGTAACATTTTATTAATACCTGAGCAGAAATGGTTACATCAAATGTGGAATTTCAAGATGGAAAAACCAGTAAAACAGGGCCGTGAGAGATGTAAAGAACATTGTTTGTACATATGAGTGCATTAATGCTGCAGGGTGTTAAGAATATATAAGAATTAAGCAGTTTGAGGTCCTTTTTTCCTGTGTGTGTTGTATTATAAGTAGCTTCAAGGTCATTTTTGCTGCTTATGTTCTTTAAGTTGTTTCCTCTTGAGTCATGAGTTCGTTTTGCCTGCTGTACAGGGATATGCGCTGGTTGAGTACGAGACCTACAAAGAGGCCCTGGCTGCAATGGAGGGCCTGAATGGTCAGGACCTCATGGGTCAGCCAATCAGTGTGGACTGGTGCTTTGTCAGGGGCCCACCCAAAAGCAAGAGAAGGTGAGAACGTCTGGGAGCCCTCAGTCGCTTGGATTGGTTCACAGCTGTTATCCTGTATTTCTGTAAGGATTTAAACCTGCAAGCTCCTTCAGCTTATTTGTACTGGCTAGGTTTTGAGGCAGTTCCTGACTTTCTGCATAAATACATTCTTTCTTGATCTGAAAGCTATTTCAAATCTAGCATATTTGATGTGGCATGCTGTGTCATCTGAAGTTGAGAATGACTGCCTCTTTCTTTTGACAGAGGTGGGCGGAGACGAAGCAGAAGCCCAGACAGGAGGCGGCGCTAATCCCTCCCTTCAGCAGTGCTATTGGCCAGAAGCGCATAGTCACAGTGTCTACCATCCAGTGGAAAGGGAGAACACATTTTAGCTAGATGGAGTTGGCCCTTTCCCCTTGATTGGTTATTTTAGTAACTTTTTTTCACATATTTGGTTTTTGTGTGCGGTGATATTGTAGCATAAGCGTCAGTTTTATTTAACTGCAATGAACTTTTATCTGTCTGATTTAACAGCTCTGTTCTCAAGAAAATAAATTTAGGACCAAAATTACATCAGTGCATAAAGCTTAAGAATTTAAGGTTTTGCTGCCTTGTCGTGCTTTCGTGATGGCCGTAGTCAGTCCACGAAGACCTAAAATGTACTTTAAAGGAGAATTCTCTCCGGCAATTTGTACACTGTCAATTTTGTTTTACATAATTAAATATGTTAGAAAAAATTTTACTTGCACCTTTTTTTGTGATTTGAAATTTTGTTGTCTTGAAAGTCATATCAAGTTATGTTTTGCTTTTTTTTTTTAATTTTTATCTTCAGCTTGTAGAGATCAGGTACTGGGTCACTGCAAAGAGCAGTTTACTTGGAACGGGTTGAACTGCTCTGTGGCTTAAGGCAACTGTTTGTTCACAAACTTAAGAATTTTGTGCAGGCAAGGAGTTGCACAATATACCTCAGTTTGAGGTGACTGAATACTTAAATGCCTGGGGGCTGATGCTCTTAGCTTACAAACACTCAACAGAGCGATATTTAACCATAAACATGCTTTTGTTACTGACCTCCCAGTTTAATCGAACCTGAAGTGCAGTCTGGCAGCGAAATCTGAAAAATCATCTAGGGAAATTGTAATTTTAGTGTAATGTATGCACTAAATTGAAAGAGTTGCCTAGGTTACCATAGGAGTAGTTTACTCTGATTTTGTATATGACTACAGTTCGTGGAGGTTTGCTGCCCAGAAATTTTGTGCTGAAATTCCATAGTTTTTGGAATTTCATCCTTCACTAGCATTTAACTGCCGCCTGTTGGCAAACAGGCCGATTAGCCTGAAATGTTCTTTGTTGACTTGCTAATTTGTTGCAGAGGTGTCCAACATGCATGACCTTTATAATGTGCTGCGACGGTTTTCCAGCTGGACAGACAGACATAAAAGGGATGTACAGCTTTTTTATTTATGAAAAACTGATGAGGTGAGTAAAATGTAAGAATTCAGTGCATGATTGTTCAAGGAGTGAAATAGTTAAGGCAGAGTACATATGATATTAGATATAAAAGCAGTTGAAAGTCTTTAGTGCAAATTGTCTCAGTGTGTGAGAGGGAGGGTATGTAAAATATGGGAAGAGCTGAGCAGTGAACCGAAATAGGAAAAGAGCAAGTCCTCCATGGTGATTAAGCTGAACTGTTTTGAGTCACTGAAGGCATCCCAGGCAACAGGGTAGGATGAGATGAGTATGGAAAGTGCAAGTCAAGCGGGAGAATCTCTTTACCAAAGGGCAGGGGATGTTACATGAACTGGGTTAGGAAGCCGGTAATTCAGGCTAAATACTGCATACATGCCGGTACCTACCATTGCGGACACTGAGGTCAAGTCCTCAGTCTTTTTTCTGCAACTCCAATGGCCGTGATCCATTACAGGGCACAGCTAGGAAGGGGTACCACTTGACTTTGGAATTGCAAAACTCCTGGCTACAGCTCTGACTGCATATATACACACAGAAAATCAAGCTTTGTATGTTTTAAAAGTGGAATATTCTGATGGTGGCACATTGTAATTCTAGTACATTCCTATGTGTGAGACTAACCTAAGAATATAACAGTAGAGTTACCGATCTTTTGTAGTGATCAAAACTGAAAAAAAATCTTTATCCTTAAGCTTGCATGAAATTAGTTATGTACATAACTACACTCAAAGACTGTGGTAATATATTTTCTATGTTTGAATAATTTCAGTAGAATTGATCTGAATAAATGAACAGAAATGTGACTATAAGTCCCAATAAAAATCAGTACTAAATGCAAGATGAATGCAGACAAAGCTTGGCAAAGTGAAGAATTAATCCGAAGACTACGTGGAGTAAGGTGTTTAGACCATAAAAAAATCCAAATAAACCTTCCAGCAATTCAATCCAATTCCATCGTCAATATAATATGTGAATCTAAAGTAGATTTTCGTATAACAGAGTGCAGGTGATCGGGTCCATTGGAGTTCGATTAAGTTCGATTTATCGTTATATTCTGAAATGTAAGGTGATAACATTCATATTAACTCCGTATGACATTAAACGTCTATCACAAATTTCAGCAAGTATTAAGTAATTAATCCGGTTATATAACACAGTAAGTTTTATCTTTCAAAGTATGCATGTAAAGCGCCTGCTACCGATGACATCATCACTGAGCAAGCCTTTTCAAACTCCGGTGTTGCTCCCTGTCAGTCAATGCCGCATGATCCAAATTATACGCTCTTCGGATCCGATAACTCCGTCTTTCTCGTTATATAGCCAATCGCCGTGTGCGAAGTTAATTATTATTCTTTTCTAGTTGGTTCTTTGGTCACCTGGGCAGACCAAGCACCTGGACACCCCTGAGCAGATAAGGCATTCTGCTGTTATTGGCTTAGGAAGTAACGACATACTGACCAATCGCCATCGAATGCGATGGGTACTCGTTAAAATGCACAGTCGTCAATTTCTATCCTCTATTTACCTACCAATGCAGGGTCTACGGTTGAGATAAAGGTCAGTGATTGGATGTCTCGCCTTTTTTGAGAGGACCCAATCCTTTTGCGGAATGGCGACCTAAACTGGTTGTTTATTGGCTCCCTGAAATGTCACTCAAATCATCCCAGTGACCGACAAGCTAGAGACTGTGGGTTCCTTCGGGTGGGCGGGTCTAAGCAGCGCCTGGGTTGACATTGTTGTTATTGTAAGTAACTAAGAAATCACTTTGGCTCCTTTTTAGTCGCGGGAATAAAGCTTCTTTTCTGTGGGATTTCTGCGGCGTCAGTAATAAAGTGGCTTCGAAGGAGTGAATGTTGCGATTTGAGATCTGAAAAGTGGCTGCAGATGAAAATGAGAACACCGAGGCCGCTCAAGGTAAGCGGTGGTTTATGTGGTCTGTAGCAGCAGAAAGAGTTCTGTCAGGTCCTCGGGGGCCTAAAGCAGGCGGCGGACCGTTCACGGAAGGCCCCGGGGTGGCTCTCTCCGACATCTCCACCCCGGCTGGCGTCCGCTGCTGTTTATCCGGGAGCCGAAAGCGTCCTCGGCCGCTCCAGGGCGTGTTGAGGCGAGTGGCAGACGGTCGATCGATGTGCGGCTAACAGTTAGCGTCGCCGACTGGCTGCATTGTCCTCCGCTAAAGGCTAAGCGAGTTAACAGCCCTACTCGACCAGCTAGTTAGTGCTGAGTTTCGGTCTTGTTTGCTTCGGACATAATCCGTAAACGAAATCGTAGGAGTAAAAACCACCAAGTCCCACTTCATCGGGATAATTTACACCGTAGTGAGGTTACTGTTTCCGATATATGTTTTATTACGGAATCTCAAATACAGCCGGACGCCTGCTTATGAATTGAAATCGCTGTATCCATAATGAATAAGAACTTGAAAGTTGTCGCAAACAGAAAAGGGAGGTGGAGGTAATCACCTCTTGATGGCTTTCAACGTACATTTTCTGATCTTTAGCACTTTATTGTTTGTTTGTTAATAATTATTAACTTTTTGGCTACCTAGAATAGGTTATGGAACCAACCAGAACATGAATGTATTGAAATCGATTACCAAGATGGCTAATATTCATGTAGATATTTGTAATATAACATTATTCTTGGTCATTACTAGAATCAGAACTTTATGGAAGTATCTAACAATGGTTTATTCTGGTTAGCATCTGATTTTGCTGTAAAACATGGCTTCCAATAGTCTGTGTTTAGTTTCTGGCCACGTCCAGCTAGGCCAAGAACATTTGAAGGTCTAGCATTTATAAAAATGCACTGCATGTTTATAGTCATCATTTAATAGTGATTATCTGCTATGCAGTGTCATTAGACCACTCTAAAACTGTGTGCTGGCTCCCCTTGTCTGCGTTGCTGTATCGCTCACATGAAGTAAAACCTTTGCTGCTTTCGTTATCATCTGATAACCACACAAGCCACACAAGGGGGTGAAAGAGACACACACTGTTCTTCACATGCTGATTACAATCTCTTCCCCACTGTCAATACAGATCTCGGGAAAAGTTAAGGTGGGGAATTGTACCAGGGATCTGTACAAGGCTTACGTGGGCTCTTAACTGGAAGCATCTTTGATGTAAAAGCAGACACTGGGCCTCCAAACGGACCTTCAGGTCCCCTGCCAATGCACAGACCCGGCCAGGATCAGCCCAGGTGTAGCTTTACTCTGCGGCTTCAATTATTCAGTCTCTTATTTACGAGTTCTTTTGTCAGCATGTTGTCCTGCATGGGCGGCCAAGCTGAAATGAGAAACTGGGACAGGGAAGCACGCTCTGCAGGAGCGTCTGGGACACGCCCACCTTCCTATCAGTAGCCCTGGCTCAGGACGGATCCGTTTTGCACCCCTTTTGATGAGATGTATCCATAGTTGGGGGAATTCTTATTTTCCCACTTGGTTCATTAAGAAATACTAGATGGTACTTTGGGACATTCTGGGGTATGAGTCTGGCTTCCCCCACCCTACCTCTCACATAAGAAATAGATATTGGAATATCCTGCCCGCTACTCGCTTTGGTGCCTGGTGGTTAAAATTATTGATATTTCCTGTGCCGAGAGGGTCCTCCTTATTTTTACGTTCACTGAAAATGGATCCGACGGGTAAAAAGTCTGGGAAGGAAATTGTGAGAGAGCTGGGAAGTTCCCTGTCCCTGATCAGACCTCTCCAGTCATGCCTCCAGTTCCTCCGGCCTCATGCACCAGCTTTGACACTGGTGTGCTTTTGTTTGCGAGTTGCTGCACGGATTCTCATACGAAAGCTTGGAGATATGGAGTAAGTGCCGTCTGTCTTCCCTTCCATTTTCCTCGGCCTCTGGTATGGTCGGCATGCAACAAGAACAGAGTTGCAGTAGACTGAGATGGGGGTAGTTCTGCAACGCTGATATGATCTGTCCGGGTCTGTGCCTGGACCTCAGTACACAGTCGGACTGTTATGTAAGACTCGGGCAGCGCATGATGCACCTGAAGGTTCCGGGCTTCATCTTCAGGCTGCCATTGTTCAATTGAATGTTGGTGGTCTATCTCTGTCACCATGACAGCTCCTATCAATATTTGCAGCCCCCAAGGAGGTCAGAAAATGCTTAGTATTTTTCTTTCCTTTTTTTTTTTGGTAAGTCTGCAGATGTCAGCTGCATTGATGCTTCTTATCAGGTCAAGAAATTGTTGGCAGGTTTTTTGATCAGGTGACTCCCAGAATCGGTGTAGCCTTGGCCGTCCCGGTGGCT